ATATATGACTTTATTTAATGCCCATTTTAGAAATCAAAATTCTATTTGACCATCTATTTTCATCCCAGTATAGATCATTTATTCTACTCTTTAAAATATCTTTTAAGAAAGCAGATGAGGAAAACGTATTGTTTCTCAGCCTTATAGTTCATCTTCTTTAAAATCAACATTTTAGTTCTGGGTTTTTTTTCCCCTTCTCAATATTTTGTAAATGAAGCGCTATACAAAACAACTGGTTAAAGGGTTACAGGACTTCATACACCCACAAACAACATTTGAAATAATCAAAATTGTATGCTGCTGATAATTGCCAAATATTGAAATAAATACGGATCAAATAAATACTTTCCCTAAAATGTCATCTAAAATCTTAGCTTGTGTGTCTACTTTTGTGGGTCAAATATCAGAAATTATTAAAAATCAAGGACACTCTGACCACAGAATAAATAAACAAACGCCTAGCAAGAGAAGCTCAATACAAAAATCAATTTCCTATGAATGAACACAAATTAAGAAGGATAAAATGCTTGTTAAAGCTCATACTGTGAAACATATATAAAAAGAGTCACAAGATAATCAGTTTGTCAAAAATAAAGTGTTTCCAAATGCTGGAGACTTCTGCGTTGCCAACTCATCACATTATTTGCAAACTACACTCCTCTTTTCTACCCACAATTATGACCACCAGAAAATAGGCTCAACAGAAAGAAAGGCAGGCTAATTATTTCCTATTACAAATGTTTTTCATTTTCAATACAGCCTTAGCCACAGAAGACCTAAAGCCAACTTTAACATTTACCCAAGCGAAGACTCTTGAACTTAAAGGCAAAGGACAAATATTCTGAAAGTGAAGAGTACAAGGTTTAACTCTTAGATTCAAACAAAACAAAAACAAAAACACTACATTTCTCTGACTTAATACTCCTTCTCTTCAACATGGAGCTGTTAAGTAATTTTACAGAAGGTATACAGTAGCCCCCAAAGAGTATGTGTGATATCTCAGTGAGAGCTTTTTTGCAAGCGCAGACAACTGCCAAGCAGATACGCTGGGGTGAACTTCCATAATGCTTAACCAAGAATGGGTCCCAGACGGCAGCAGCTCACTGTGTATCCTGTATAAAAGCAGCTACAGCTAAGAGAAAGTGGGTCCATGTGTGAATATGGGTTCAGGAACAAAGAGAAAATGTCACCCTCTAATTACCTTCAAGATTCATAGCTAGATAGGCACTGCTTTCTAAATAGAAAAGCCTAAACCAGCTCTGAACCCAGTCTTTTTTAGGGCAGCATGAATATAAACGGAGGTTTCCCGTGGCTGTTGTTTATGTTGCCTTGGTGTTATGAAATAACAGAACAAAAGTACACACAGCAACTTGATAAGATCACCGTCAACTGAACCAGAGGGCTGGGGAAGGATTTTAAAGAAAGCATCTAGCCCCGCTGTATTCACCAGGACTTTATGTGATGATCCCTTCCCAGAACTGGCCTAAAACAGAGCCAAGGCTCTTCCCCTTGAACTTGAAAAATCTCAGAAGTGGCCTTGTGGCCAAATGAGACAGGAAGGACCTCTCTGGGGGCTTGCTGATGAAAAAGCCTTCTCATGCCTTTCTCTACACCTTCTCTGACATCCTGCCAGGTGTCATGGGGGATGAGGGAGGGGGCAAATCTTGTGTGCCCTGACCCCCTCCCTGGTCTCCTGAGAGAACACACCCTAAGGAAGTACTGGAAGGAGAGGGAAGGGGCAGGAGAGGAGGGGGATTGGAGTACAAGGTCAAAAGCAATTTTGTCTCCAGGGCTTTCTCACCAGGAAACGCACCTGCTGTGATGTCCAGTTGAGCTACTGGAGGTCCTCTGGCTGCTTCTGGAAACTGATGCTGGCATAAGCACTTAAATCCTCGCTGGAACGGCGGGTCAAGCTGCTCTGGTTGCTGCCAAGGGGCTGGTGAGGGGGAGGCGGGGCAGGGGGCTCCGGGGGAGGGGGACGCTCCTGAGGGCGCTGTTTAAAGTCCTTGACCAAATCCAGGTCTATGTAGTTAAGACCATTCTCAAAGCCCCCAGCAGCCCCACACACCTGGGCCAGCTCCTTAGGGGTCCCCCCGAGCTCCCCCGGCCGCAGCCACACATTCTCAAAGGAAGCAGAACTGTGGCGTTTCACATCCTCACTGCTGCTGGCACTGCTGCCGGCCCCCCCTGCTGTAGCGCCCCCTCCGAAGGGCATCATGTTGCCTGCCCGGGTGGCGCTGGGTGTTGAGGAGAAGGTCTCAGAGCTGTGCCTTCTCCGGCAGCCTTGCGGGTCAGCACGGATCACTTTGGCACTCTGGTTGCAGTTGGGACTGAGGTTAACCCGGGTGAAGGCGCTCATGCCCCCAGGTCCCTGTGGACCCCCCAGCAGGGAAGGGCAAGTAGTCAGCTCAGCTGCTCCTTGAGGTGCAGTGGGGGAGGCCGAGGCTGCTGAGGATGAGGGAGCAGCCGCTGTGGCCACAGGAAGACTCACATCTTCTGCAACAACGCCTGTCCGCATATCAGCATAGCTGACCGGGGCCACTGGCGAGGTGTCCACATAACTCTGCCGGGAATAGCCCACCTGCATGGTCATGTAGTCTCCTCGGCTGCTAGGTACAGCCCGCGTGGGCCTGCACACATTCCCAGTCCCAGGTGGAGCCGGGCCTGCTCTGTCCATCTCTGTCCCCACACTCTCCTGCCAGGCTGCCCTCCGTCCAGGGCCCAGGTCCATGTTCATGTACTCTTCAGTACCAGTCTCTTCCTCTCTGGGTGCTGGTTGGAGCTGTGATGGACACCTGATGGACGGTGAGGTGTGGTGTGAAGCCATAGGGCCAGAGAAGTAGCCTGGCTGCTCAATCCCAAACTCAATATTCACATATTCCCCTGGGCTCTTGGGCTCCTGAGGCTGAAGCAGCAATGGCTGCTGAGGCTGTTCACGGGCCCGAGGTAAGGTGCTGGCTTTGGGATCCCCTAGAGACAGCCTCGTGGGCCGAGCCAGGCGGCTGTTGGTCTGGGCGGCCATGTCCACCTTTCGAGGCAGATGGGGTTGCAGGACCTGATGGTGGAGATGTGGGTGTCCAGGCTCTGGCCGAGGCCCACAGTACCCCCCTCCCAGGCTATCACTGCTGGTGGAGGACGAAGAATCATCCAGGGCTGCAGCATAGAGAAGGCGTCCAGAGCTGGAGGAGAGCCGGAGGTGCTGATGGCGGGCACTTTCCTCTGGCTCCCCTGGGCGCTGGGTGTGCTTAAAGGACCTTGGCAATGAGTAATAGGAGAGGAGCGGCTTGTGCTGGGGGTCCTCGGGACCATAGGAGCAGTCCGAAGGGCTACTGGTGTTAGAGTCTCCCGCAGGTGACATGTTCATGTAGTCACCTGTGCAAGGCAGGAGCTTGCCACCACTGCTTTCTACAGCCTGTTTGGGGTGAGGAGAATGGTGGCCCCCTACCCCATTTGTCCACAGCTTCCCATAGCTGTTTCCAGAAGGGGCAGTACTGTGGCTGTTGCCGCCTCCGCTGGGCCCACCACCATTGTCAGGCGAGCAGCTGCCACTTGGGGACATCATCATGTAGCCGTTGGGGTCCACTCGCTGGGAATGGCGTCTGGTGGGGTTGATGATCTGCTGTGGGGCAGACACACTCTTGGGGCTCATGGGCATGTAGTCACCACTGACCTTTTGGTTGCTGGGCACTGGGGCCACCCCTGGGGACATGGGCATGTAGCCATCATCGGTGTGGAGGGTGGACGCGTCTGGGCGGTGGTGACCCCCACGCTGCTCCAAGGGATGCATCTCCAGCCCCTCCTCGGGGTAGGAGTGCGTGGGCACGAAGGCGGAGTGCCGGTAGCTGGGCAGTCGGCCTCCGCTGCCCCCTCCTGTTGGGTAGACGGGCATCATCTCGGTATACTCCTCTATGGACACCACTGAGGACTGGGACGGGGTCTTCTGGTGGGAAATGGTGGGGGATGTGCCCGCAGAGTGAGTCCTCTTTCGGAAGCGATTCTCCAAATCTGCAGCACCAGCTGTTTCCTCTGACGGCAGGGCGGGGCTCGTTCCCAAACTTGCTGCTGGGATGCAGCGGTGGCCATTGCCGCCCCGGGTCAAGATGTAGTGACCGTTGGGGGCAGTCAGGGTGGAGGCCCCCTTGCCACCCATGCAAATGTAGTTGCTCAGCTCCTCCTCACCGCGAGCAGGTGGGGTGTGGCCCAGGGAATCCGGGGTGACACTGCGGAAGGAACTACGGAAATCGCAAGGACTGGAGCCATACTCATCGGAAGAGATGAATCCACCATCACTGGGGGATCCGGACACAGAGGCACTAGACCGCCGCGGGAAGAGGCAGTCCGAGGTGGAGCCGTGGCCACTGGTGCTGCTGGAAGATAAGCTGACCGGGCTGGTGGCGGAAGGTGAGCAGCGAGAAGTAGGCATGGGGATGGAGCGACTGTGGTTGAGCGGAGGGTGCAGCCGAGAGCTTCCCCGATGCCGGTGGGCGTGGGTCCTGTTGGTGCTAGGACTAACGGGGCTGCCATCCACCGAAGCTGGCCGGGACATGGTGCCTTCGCCGTCACTGGAGGCGCGAACTCGGAAGGAGCCGGGCTTCCCACCTACCATGCTGGCCGGGGAGGTGGCTGTGATGCTCTCGGTGCGTGAGCGGCGGGTCAGTCCCACCTGGCTGGGTGGGGGGTTATTGATGTGATGCCTTCGCAGGGGGACGCTGATGGGGTTGGAACAGTTAGAGGAGGACTGGCTCTTGCTGCGAGGGCGGAACTCGTCGCTCATGGCCCGCATGGCCTCCAGGATGGTCTCATGCATGTTCTGGGCCACCACAGAGTCATCCACCTGCATCCAGAACTCCCCGGGTCCCGTCACAGCGGAGCGGCCCACCTCGATGAAGAAGAAGTTCTCTGAGTGGCCGCAGCGCCTGATGTTCATCAGCTGTAGCACCACGGCGGCCGCCTCCGAGTTGAGCTTCACGAAGCTGAGGGTCTTGCTGGTCAGACAGAGGCGGTAGATGCCAATCAGGTTCTTTGTCTGACCCAGACCTTTAGGCTTTAGGATCACCTGCCAGACCTCCTTGAAGGCAGGGCCTGGGGGCACGTCCCCGTAACTCAAGTCCTCCCCAGCCTCGCCCAGGCAGGCACTGCCGCTGCAGCTGCCCCCGCCACCTCCCAGCCCGGGTGCCACAGCCCCTTCGTGGTGGCCCTTGGCACGGTTGTGCAGCTGCAGCAGGGCCTGGTACCAGCTGTCCTGTTCGGCCTCGCTGTCGGCCGCAATGGCGAAATGCTCGTCCCGGGTATAGAGAGCCACCAGGTGCTTGTTCTTGGAATCCGCCCGCTTGTTGATGTTGAAGCAGCTCTCGAGGGGGATCGAGCGTTTGGGGGCGCTCGACTTGTGCCTCCACTTCTTCTCGTTCTCGTAGTACTCGAGACGCGCCGGGCCCCCTGCCTCGCTGGCTGCCCGCAACACGAAGAAGCGCTTGTGCATGCTCTTGGGTTTGCGCAAGTAGCCCACCTTGCGCACGTCCGAGAAGCCGTCGGTCTCCGGAGGACTCGCCATGCTGCCGCCGCCGCCACCGCCGCGCAGCGGTGGGCGCCGAAAACCAAGCGGGTGGGGGGCGGAGGCTCTGCACCGCGGCCCCGCACATGCAAACAGGGCTGGAGGCAACAGGAACGCCGAAGCCGAATCCACACCGCCTCCCCGGCCGAGAGGAGCAGTGGAGAAGAGCGCAGCGGCTGCGCCCGGGAGCTGGCCCCAACCCGAGTTCACGGGCGTCTCATGCCCGGGAAAGTGGCCGTACGTCCTGGGCGAGGGCAGCCCCGATCTTCCGAGAGCCGTGTCCCGGCTCCGCCGTCGCGGCCGGGAAGGAACGAAGATGCATTTCTTGCGGTCCTGGCGGCAGCCGAGGGTCCACGCGGCTGCTGGGGGTGGGGGGTTGGGGGTCCTGATGCTGCCCTTCCAGGCGTGCGTGCGCGCCTTCTCTCCTGAGTTCCCCTCTGGAAGTCGCGATTCCCGAGGCAAATTAAATATCCTTGGGCAGGGGGAGGCGGGCTGCCAAGTCCCAATGTTGCACGGGGTTCTCTCTCCTCCTCCTCCTTCGCCTCCTCCTCCGCCTCCTCCCACCCCCAACCGGCCCCGCCGCCACCAGCCGCCCAAATACCAGCTCAATCGCAGAGACCGCGGCGCTGCGGCTGTTGCTGCGGCCGCCGCTGGCGGCCGCGTCCTCTGCAGCCCCCGATCGGGCCCATGTCGGCGGGCGGAGCAAGGGACTTGTCCACGCGAAACGCTGCCAGGCAGATGGGAGAACCGAGGCCGCTCCGAAGGGCCAGGCTCATCCCTGCCCCTCGCTGCAGTCGGCCGGGAAGGTTTGGGTAGGGGCCGGGGAGACAACTCGGCCCCGGGAGGCGCTGTCGCTGCAGTGACTTGTCCCCTCCTCCTCCTCAGAGAGTTGCCGAGAGCCCCAACCAAAACAAGCGGCGGCGTCTGGCTCCGCGCGCCTGCCCCTCCAACCGCGCCGCCGTCTCACTCGGAGGGAAAAACACGTGACGGAGCCTTGGCGCTCGGCTGCCCGGCCGCCGCCGCCGCCGCCGGGAGGCTCCCGTCCGGGTCGCTACATTCCG